CATGTAAATCCATATCTTGTAAAAATATTTATCTCAAAGATAATTATTATGACAAGACTTTTATAATATAAGTCTCAACATAAAAGTCTTTCGAGACTTAAAAATATTTATCTCGCTGATAATTATTATGAAAAGGCTTTTATTTATATAAGTCTTAAAATAATAGTTATCGATGACTTAAAAAATTTTCTCACACATAATTATTATCAAAAGACTTATAATTCTTACAAAAATTTTGATGACTTTTTTAAAACTCTACCATGAAATAATTACTATTCTGGGTATCTGCCATTGAAAAGGTATTTTTCTGTAGATGAGTGGTTGCAAAATTGGTGGAAAGTTGCGGCCAAAATAGTCGTTGGAAATTTCCGTATTTGTGTATAGTTCTGGCTGAAATCTGATCAGTTTGAGTTGTTTTCGCATTTTGTTTCACTTCGAGTTTGAAATTAAACTTTGTAATAAATATAAATGTGGTGATAAAGAAATAAAAGATAACGATGAAGACAAAAAAGAGAAAGCAAAAGTGGAGATAAAGACGAAAATGGAGACAATGAGAAATACATAAGAATTAGGGTAACGAAAGGGTAAGAAAATGTATTGAAATTTTTGGATAGGAATCGAAGTAAATTCAGTGATAAAAAATTTAGTTATCGAATGTTATCAAGTTACCGAAATTTATAGCTATGGAAATTTATCAAGTTATGCGCGTTATTGAGTTATCGCAACGTATTATTCAAATTGATCAATGTTCATTGAGTTATCGATATTGATTAACTGAAATTATTGGATTTATTGAATCGAAGTGTTTGGAATATTCAAAATATATCGCGCTATCGTAATTTCAAGGTTATATGAGTTTATCGAGTAATCACTGCTTATCGAATTTCATCGTATCGCTAGAGTGTAACGAGTTATCAAAGTTTATCGATAGCTTTCGAAAAATATGGAGCTAACAAAACTAACAGAATTATCGAAATTTATAGAGGTATCCAAAGTTTATCGTATTATCGAGCTCTCGAAGCAAACAGGTATCGAAATTTATCGAACTATCGATATGTATAAAATAATCAAAATTTATAGACAAACTGGAATGTGTGGGGTTACCTGCGATGGTAAAACATACATACATACATATGCATGTACAGTATTTATGTACATAGCAAGGCGAATTAATACTTATGAGTAGGGTTGGCAAAGTTGCTTGAAAAAGTTTATTTTGCATATTTTTGGCAAGTTTGTTAGTTTTTTTCATATATTCGACTTACGTGCATATTTTTGCATTTTTTGCAACATTTCATACATTTTCGGCGAAAAAGAGTCTTTTATACTCCTGTTACCACCTTGCAGGAAATCGCCTTGATACAATGCGAGGCGAATTCAAGGCATTGTATGAATTCGCCCGCGTGTAAATATGTATGCATGTAGGCAAGGCGAATTTACACAAGATGGTGTTACTGGCGAATTTAGATTTTCGCCGCTGTCCTGAATGTCAAAATCAAGGCGATTTTATACAAGGTGATGTTGATGGCGAATTTAGATTTTC